TTTCTGTGGTCCCTGAAACCTGTACCTTGACCCTTTCCACACTGGTTGCGTGAACCATTACATTGCCCTTTTTGCCTAGATTAGTACAACCAGTGTATTGAATGTGCAAGACACATCAGGAGATAATCAAAGCCGGTTTTATTTTGTCTCCCTGTGCCCTCTTAAAATGTTTTCAGTGTGGGAAGTCCAGAGAATTTTTTGATATCGAGGAGGTACTAAAAATCCCATGGTCACATTGAGTCACCAATTCCAAAATTAGAGTATCTGGCCTTATGTAAGAGCCATAGCTTTCAATTCATTCAAAGCTACAGTGACTTCCCCTCCCTGCATTTAGGGCTTAGTACCAGCAGGTGCCTGACCCTGGGAAGGGGATGTGCCCTGCCTGTCATTTTCCCACTCCTCCTCGGATGCTGGTTGTGGTTTCTGACCTCTCTGGAATCGGTGGGGAAGGGAAAGAGACAATGTGAATAGAAAAGACATAAGATAGTGTCAGCGCTGTCTGAGCTGTTGAGTGTTTAAAACTAACGCCTGTGGGTGCTCTGGGAGGCATTTTGGAGACCCCTGCAGCTAGGGACTTCTGCTGTACAGCTCCCCTGATGGAGGTCATGTACTTGCTCAAACCTTGTCACTCACTCCTGTGGCTCCTAGGACTCCCAGTGTCTGTCCCCACTGCTGTCTGCTGAGGCCCCTGGCAACCCCCTGGACCCGTGTTTTGGAAAGGACCTAAAACAAACCCACTCTCGCTCATTTATGCATCCTTTTTCACAACAAATTCCAGGAGTGCAGACCAGTTCCTGCATCCAGCCTATGTTGTGGCCTTTACACTTGTCAGGTAGAAGTCAAGCATCTAGAAGTCTACTGTGTTCCCCATTTTTTAAGGGTCAGAGTTAAGCTTCCCTCACCAGGCATGAGGGAGAGACAAGTACTCATTCTGCCCCTTAAGTGAGGAGTCCATAGCACTGCTCAGTCCAGGCAAGTTGTTCAAATTCTCTTTCCTTAACTTCTCATTGCCGGTTACTTTTATATTTGATGTAGGGAGGGCCTTTCAGATCATTTTGATTTGATATTTCCTTTGAAATTTTTCAGTTTTCAGATATTTCCTTTTTTTTTTTTTTTTAATTTTTTTTTTTCAACGTTTATTTATTTTTGGGACAGAGAGAGACAGAGCATGAACAGGGGAGGGGCAGAGAGAGAGGGAGACACAGAATCGGAAACAGGCTCCAGGCTCTGAGCCATCAGCCCAGAGCCTGATGCAGGGCTCGAACTCACGGACCGCGAGATCGTGACCTGGCTGAAGTCAGACGCTTAACCGACTGCGCCACCCAGGCGCCCCTTCAGATATTTCCTTTGAAAATTTACACCTCAGTCTAGAACCTCACGTTAGTGTCTGAAATTTATCATTCCAGAGGCTTGACTGAAATATTCTTTTTAGCATCCTGTTAGACTAATTTGATTTGGATTTATGACCATTGTGACCAAATAATCCTGGTAATAACAGTCGACAAATATTTATTGAGCATCTACTGTGTGCAGCCACAAAAGAGAAATGCTTCCAGTCCTCACAGGCTGCCAGTCTAGGACAGAGTTTACAGATTGTTAGCCCACTGGCTGAATCCTGCCTGTGGACGTATTTTGGTTAATCATCATAATCTTTAAATTTTTCTTTTTTTTTTAAGTTATTTTTTTTATTTTTTATTTTTACAGAGAGAGAGAAAGAACACAAGATGGGGAGGGGTAGAGGGGGAGGGAGAGAGAATCTCAAGCAGGCTTCATGCCCAGTGCAGAGCCCGATGCAGGGCTCGATCTCATGACTGTGAGATCATGACCTGAGGCAAAATCAAGAGTCTGACGCTTAACCAACAGCCACCCAGGTGCTCCCCAAAGTTTTGTGGAATCTACTGCCAATAGTTACACATTGAAAATTTTTACCTTAAAAGATCCAGATTCTGGGGTGCCTGGGTGGCTCAGGTGGTTAAGCATCTGACTCTTGAGCTTAGCTCAGGTCTTGATCTCAGGGTCTTGAGAGTTCAAGCTCCACTTGGGCTCCACACTGGGCATGGAACCTACTTAAACAAAAAGAAAGAAAGAAAAGATCCAGATTCTTGGCTTTATAAAGTTTATTTATTTTGAGAGACATAGAGACAGCATGAGTTGGGAAGGGGCAGAGAGAGAGTGAGACAGAGAATCTCAAGCACTGAGTGCAGAGCCTGATATGGGGCTTGAACCCACACAACTGAGATCGTGACCTGAGCCGAAACCAAGAGTTGCACGCTTAACTGACTGAGCCACCCAAGTGCCCCAGATCCTTGGCTTAAAAAAAGAAAATCAGAAGATGTGGCAGTGCTGGGCCTGCATTACTGCCTGACATCGTCTGCTGTTGCTGGTGGAAACTCCCCGTTGGACAGGGCATGGAGTCTCCAGATGGGCTCCATTCCCTCGTGGCTCTGTGACCCAAAGGCAATGCCAGTTGCCATTTATCATTATTGGGCTCACGCAGTTACCTTTCCTTAAATTAACAGAATGAGGGGCGCCTGGGTGGCGCAGTCGGTTAAGCGTCCGACTTCAGCCAGGTCACGATCTCGCGGTCCGTGAGTTCGAGCCCCGCGTCAGGCTCTGGGCTGATGGCTCGGAGCCTGGAGCCTGTTTCCGGTTCTGTGTCTCCCTCTCTCTCTGCCCCTCCCCCGTTCATGCTCTGTCTCTCTCTGTCCCAAAAATAAATAAAAACATTGAAAAAAAATTAAAAAAAAAAATTAGCAGAATGAAGTGAAATATTTCTGGGACTCCTGTCTCTTAGCAAAAGAGAGAAAACAACAGTCCCAGAGAGCTATGAAGGGGATTTCTTTAGATATGCAGTGTTCTCATATGTTTAATATGCAATTAGTGTATGTGTCCATAAAACAAAACTTAAGATGCCATTGGAAAATAACCCGCAGAGATAATCATGGCTACTATACAAAAATACGTGGTGAAAAAATACATTTCAACGGGATTTGTTTTTAATGCAACTGAAATCAGTAGTATGAGTTACTCTGGAAAGGTATCACATTCCCCCCTTCCTTCATTTGTGATAGGTTCTTGCCTGGCCCCCAACATCTGAGTTTGCAACAAGGGGAGGGCATTCTCTGGAGTCTCTGGAAGGAAACAGCCAAAATGTGGATTCATTGTATATCCAGTGAAGTCTTAGCTTGGATCTGAGGAGCAGTAGCAGAATAGTTGCCCCAAGGTTATGACCACATGGGGGGAAAGCAACAGGTGTTGGCAAGTTAATGAGATTTTCTTTTTTACGGAATGATAACTAGGATTGTTGAAAGAGTATTAACCTTTGAAACTAACTCTTTTTGCAAATTTTGTTTTCACTTTATTTTAAAAATTGACACTTTTTTTTTTTTTTTTTTTTTTTTTTTTTTTTTTACTTTTATGAGTTCCTGATATATTAAGCAAAGTCTCCCATCCATTTATCTCAGAGCAAAAGCAGAATTATTTTGAGGAAAGGCTTTGACTTTCCTCCTGGGAGGCAAGCCTTCTGTTGAGCTGTATGTTCTATTCAGTATCTTCAATTTTAAGAAGAATTATTCTCTCACTGCAGTTCTGCTGTTTAAGAAAGAGTACAGATTTGGGCCTTAGTTGGCCTTGCTGAATGGCTCCTGTGAGGTACTTGTCAATATGGGTACCTTCTTTCTCTTGGCCATCATTGCTTATCGAAGACTGAGTTCCTCGAAAACCTTGCTGCATGGCCTTTGCCATTTAGGTGTTTGGCCTTCTGTTTTATCCTCAGGTTAAGCCAGGCCAACTGAGAACTGCATTCATTCCTAGACTGCTTTATTTTGACATAGTCAACACCACGCACACACAAACACACACACACATGCTTTGCAAACATTGACCAAAGCTATAAGAAATAACCTCATGATACTTCCCTCAAGTCTTAGTAGCAGGAATAGCTGTGTTTCTCCTGGTTTATTTGATGAACACTATAAATCATTTCATCAGTGCTTCGCATTTAGCTTTAGCTGTGAGAAATCTTGGGGGTAAATCTATAATCTTCCTCCAGCCAGCACATAGGACCTTAGATCATCCAGTTTTGGTATTCTTATCCTGGCTGTACTATTTTTCTTATGCTTATTTCACCTGTGGTTCCAGATACCAGATATCTTCCCTGTTTTATTCTTTTTTTATTTAGAGAGAGAGAGAGAGAGAGAGAGCAGGAGAGGGAATCTTAAGCAGGCTCCATGCTCAGCATGGAGTCTGATGCGGGGCTCAGTCTCACGGCCCTAAGATCGTGACCTGAGCTGAAATCAAGAGGCAGACACTTAACTGACTGAGCCACCGAGGTGCCTCCCCCCAGATATCTTCTTTTTAAAAGATCTTGTACTTCATTACAATTTTGTAAAACTGCTTCAACCTCGTTTTAGGATGAGGCAAGATATAAAGAACCTAAAATATTCATGATTTATCGTTAGTTGTAAACACCTTACAACTTATTTTTAGATTTCACTCTAAATTTCCTCCCCTTTGTGTAATCAGACCTGTCAGTTCCTTGTGCCTGTCATGAAGACGATGGGGTCATTGCCCTGGATTTGAGGACCCCTTGGCTGCCACATCTTCACTCCATAGTTAACACGGCTGCTCCAGCAAAAATTATGACTAGAGCTTAGAGGAATCAGAAATTGCTTCTAACCCTGTTACTTCTTTGGGGGTCCAGTTTTGCGGTTTAACTAAGTTTCAGTCAAGCACCACGTTTAAACAGGAAGGCAGTTATATACCAGCACAGGAACTGGTTGGCCTAGAGGGTCTGGGAAACACCTGGCATTGAACCTCATCCTTCATAAATCAGGTGTTCAGCAAGAGTTCGAGACTTAAATTTAGTTACGGCTTATGTATGTGGGTCTGTTCCTTAAGCAGTTGTCTGTCCCCATGATCTGTGTCTGGGGAATGTAACCTGCTAGTGTCAACAGTGGCTTGACTTTAGTGACATTTTCTGCTTTTCTGTTCTTTTTCAGAGTATGATCGGTTGGGTTTCCTCCTGAAGCTGGACTCTAAACTGTGAGTAGAACAAGAAAGCACCTTGACTCTGTGGTAGAGACGTCTGTGAGAACTGGGGTCCGTCTTAGAAGGGTCACCTCCTCAGCCCTGCTTTTGTTGGGGGACTCCCTGGGACCTCTGCTCCCCGCCCCCGCCATCAGCAGAATCTTGGAGCATGTTATAGTCTGCAGGGGCCCAGAGGGGATGGGATCGTGAGTGCAAACATGAAGCCTTAGGTTTGGCTGGCACAGGGAGCTCCTTACAGAAGGAGCCGCTGCCAGGTTTGAGGGACACGGAGGCCCTGGGAAGGCTTCTGCTACAGAGCGGAGGATGGTTGAATTGTAGCAGGAGGCAGTGGCCTGTCAGAGATGCTCTGCGGCCTGGTGTGCAAAAGACAGCTGTGATCAGGCTTCTTCTGCCGCATTAGCTCCTGTCTCTGCCACTGGCAAACCCTCCGTTCCCCTCTGCCTTTGCGTGTGCTTCTTCTCTGTGCCTGCAATTCCCTTTCCTTGCTGGTCTCCTGGGAAAACTCAAAGACTACCTCTTTCCTGCACAAAATTCACGATCTCTCCCCCTCTGCTTCCTGTGAATTTTCTCCTTCTGCCACCGATGATCTCACTGTAGTATAATGAACTGTGTCATAATTATCAATTTATTAAGAGCACAGGCTTAGAGCCAGGCCTGCCTTGGTTCAAATCCCAGATTGCCATTTATTCTCTTTCTGATTTGGGGCAAGCTACTTAGCCACTCTGAGCCTCAGTCCATCTGTAAGAGAAGGACACCAATATACCTACCTCTTAGGGTTATTGTGAGAACTTACCTGAAGTGATTACTTCATAAGGGCTTTCAAGTACAGAGAGTCTAATCCTTTCAGAATCCTGCTCTGTTCTGGGCTTCTTGTCCTTTCTAGCACCCAGCCAGTGCTGGTTTATGTTTGTGAGGTGCTCAGTAACCATGGCTGCATGGATGGATGCATGGATGATAGGTGGATGACCGTGCACTTCTCCAGTTAGACTGGGATGCCTTGAGATTGGACTGTATCCATTCTGTGTGTTCATACCCTGCATGGCACCTCTCACATGGTTGATATGCAGTAAATGGTTGAAAAACTGCCTGTGGCTCCATTCTGTTGTCAGTCACTTTTGTAGTCCCGTGTCCCCTGCCAGCACCAGACTGACATGAAAGATGGGCATTGTGTCTCCTTTCCTCTCTTGCATGAAGCCTTGCCCACAGCCGCTTGTGATGGTGATGGCTGTGCCTACATACAAGACATTGAATCTGGGGCTATTTGGCTTTCCCACTGAATTATCTAGCATCTCAACCCTTTCCCTGGCTTCTGGCATTTTGGCTTTCATGCCTCATACTGTGAATTCAGGCATTGTAATTCTTCCAGCTTTTATACATCACGGAGGCAGCCACGAGGGAAGGATGGTCTGCTCTTTATACCAGGCTAGTAGAGAGATGTCAGCTATATGTTAACATCTGGGGAATGGGGCTCAATTATGCTAGAAAGCCACAGCCTTCACTCTTCGAAAATTCTTAATTTAGTGCTCTGGGCAAAAAAAAAAAAAAAAAATCAAGTATCAGCTAAGCAAGTGAAATGCCACCAGAATGGAAGAGATGTAGTAATTTACCAAGTCAAATCACATCGATGAACAAAATGCATGTTATTTAGGACATGTTAACTACGGTATTTAAACTGTCTCCAGCAGCGTAAGAAGGGGAATTAGGAGGACACTCCTGCCCCGTTGTCTCAACAGTTGGGTGGTACACAGCAGGCTGATGTGCAGCTTTCTGGTGTGTACCAGGCCAGATCCATGAGCCATTTGAGGCAACTTGGTCTTTAGCCTGGGGAATAACTCACAAGGTGTAAGCTAGAACTTTCCTGCCTCTGATTGCAAAGACTTTTCCAATCCAGTGCTATCTTTAGAAGAAAGCACAGATGTGTGGAAACGGTTTTTACCTGCTTCCAAGGAGAAGTTTCCAAGTGAACGATTCTGAGTTTTGGAGTTGATCCCTCAGCAGTATCCAGATCTCCTCTTATGAAGTCACCTTCTACTGTGTTGTGTTCTTTTTTTTTTTTTTAATTTTTGAGAGAGTGAGCGTAAGCAGGGGAGGGGCAGAGAGAGAGAGATGGGGACAGAGCTTCCGAAGCAGGCTCTGCACTGACAAGCTGACAGCATTAGAACTCACCGACCAGGAGATCATGACCTGAGCTGAAGTCAGACACCCAACCGACTGAGCCACCCAGGTGCCCCTGCTGTGTTGTGTTCTAATTCTAATGCACAGGAAAGGACCTGAACTTGAATCAGAAGAACTAGATTTGAATTCTGCCCCTGCTGCTTAGAATTATGTGACCTTAGGGGCGCCTGGGTGGCTTGGTCAGTTGGGCGTCTGACTTCGGCGCAGGTCATGATCTCACAGTTTGTGGGTTCAAGCCCCGCGTCAGGCTCTGTGCTGACAGCTCAGAGCCTGGAGCCTGCTTCACATTCTGTGTCTCCCTCTCTCTCTGCCCCTCCCCTGCTCGTGATCTCTCTCTCAAAAATAAATAAACAATAATTAAAAAAAAGAATTATGCGACCTTAGATAATTTGTTTTAGCTCTCTGAATACTAGTTTTTTCTTATCAAAAATGTAGATAATAAGATCCACCTCCCAAGGTTTTTAAGGAAGACTAGAAGAAAGGGTTCTATAAAGTATAAATAGATTTTTAAATGTGAGAATTTCTTTTTATTTATCGTGATTAGATTCATTTAGATTTTTAAAATTTAGCTAATTTTAAAAAATGTTTATTTATTTTGAGAGGGGAAGAGGAACAGAGAGAGAGGGAGAGAGAAAATCCCAAGTAGGCTCTGCACTGTCTGTGCAGAGCCTGATGTGGGGCTCGAGCTCATGAACCGTGAAATCATGACCTGAGCCAAAACCAAGAGTTGGATGCTTAACCGACTGAGCCACTCAGGCACCCCAAAAATTATTTAATTTTTAAATCAAACAGATGTGTGTGTGTGTGTGTGTGTGTGTGTGTGTGTGTGTGTGTGTGTTTACAGAATTGGTTTTTTATTTTTTTTTCAACGTTTATTTATTTTTGGGACAGAGAGAGACAGAGCATGAACGGGCGAGGGGCAGAGAGAGAGGGAGACACAGAATTGGAAACAGGCTCCAGGCTCTGAGCCATCAGCCCAGAGCCCGACGCGGGGCTTGAACTCACGGACCGCGAGATCGTGACCTGGCTGAAGTCGGATGCTTAACCGACTGCGCCACCCAGGCGCCCCCAGAATTGGTTTTTTAAATTGAAGTATAGTTGACATACAGTGTTATATTAGTTTCAGGTATACAACATAGGGATTTGAAGAGTCCATATGTTACACCTTGCTAACCACAAGTGTAGCTACCGTCTGTCACTATACTTCTGTAGTATAAGAACTCATATGTTTTGGAAAATTTTCAGCCATCATCTCTTTAAATATTGCCTCTGCCCACTCTCTCTCCACTCCTCTTCTGAAACTCTGATTAAATTGTTAGACCTTTTCATTCTAGCCTCCAGGTCTACTGACATCTCTTCCATATTTTCCATCTTTTGACCCTTTCCACATCAAACTGGAACCCCAAAGGACTTAGCATAGTTGGAGCTAGAAGTTCAACTCAGGTTTCCAGAACTCTTAGTGGATCAGAGCAATAAATTCATTTAAAAAAAGCCACACTTGCTATTTGCAGCCAGGGTTCTCGTCACTCAGGTGATCTGTGGAACCTCAAGCCGTGAACTTTAATTATATGAGAGTTTAATGTATCCCATACTGGCAGTGCCGCCAAAGTCCTGGCAGAGGCAAACGCAAACCCGCTCTGGAGGAAGACGTGAAATCCCTGCAAATAACCTTTAAAAGAAACAAACAGCTCAGAGTAAAAATAACTGAAGTGCGCAAGGGAACAAGGCTCCATTAGTGAGAACCATGAAAAACAACAGACAACAGAGGGGGACCCACAAAGATTTGTGAAATTGGACTTACCAGACACAGTTGGTAAGGCAATTAGATATACTATATTTAAGGAAATAAAGACAAGATTGAGCTGTATACATGGACTAGGGGACTAGAAAAAGCAAAATATTAGGTTGGAAAAACAAAACTTCTAGAATTAAAAAACACGTTTACTAAAATCAAAAACTCAATAGTATTTAATGGCAGATTAGAGACAACTAAAGACAGCATTAGCAAACTGGAAGATAAGTCAGAAGAAATGAACTATTATGGGTTGGGCAATGTTTTCTGTAAGGGCCAGATGATCGATATGTTAGGTTTTTTTGGCTTTATTGTTTCTGTTGCAACTACTCAACTCTGCCGCTGTAACATGAAAACAGCCATGGACGTCACGTAGACAAATGAATAGGTCTGTATTCCAATGAAATTTTATTTATGGATACTGAAATTTTATTATAATTTTTATGTGTCATGAAATATTCTTCTGATTTTTATTCTCAACCATTAAAAATAACTCTTAACTCACAGGCCATATGAAAAACAAGATAGTGGGTCAGATTTGGCCCACGAATCATAATTGCTTGAATTGAGAGTTCTGCACAGATATAGCTGCATAAAAATTGTGTCCCCACCTCAGGTGTTTTTCCGTTCTTAAATTCCTAATATAGAGAAATATTCTTTAAATGTCTCTATATCCAGTGATTCTCTACAAATCTGAAAATAGATGCTTTGGATTTTTGTTTGTCTTCACTGTATTTCTTGATACCTTTGTGGAAAAAATAGTTTTCCATTTCCTTTGAGAATTCCCTACTGCTCGTATGTATATGACAAGATCATGTGTCAGCACTATGAAAATTACTCAAAATACTTCAATGCGGTGATCTGTCTGAAACTTTGTCTTTTAACTGCAAGCTGTGTTGTTGAGGAGGGCAGTGTTTATTGGCAGTTAGAAACATAGGCTATGGTGTCAGACATGGATTTTTTTTTTTTT